TTGTGGATCAGACAGGGATATCAATGTACATAGGTGTGTAGCATATACATCCTCTACTTGCTATTTTGATTCGAAATTCAAATGCATTGAAGTGAAGGATGACCCTTACAAAAATGTGTTATTGAATACATTAAATTGCACTCAAACAAACTTGAATCTCTGTGGTAAAATAACAACCAAAGGACAGACATGCTGGGTGGTGGATAACAATTCCAATCTTAAATGTTCATATTATTCAGCCAGTAAAACATACACGTGTTCAGAAATGGGTTCTTTGAATACTTCAGGTGCCATAACTGTGGAAAGTGGAAAGAGACAATGGTATAATAGAAATATGTGTTATTTGGCGACTGATAGTTGTTACTTTGATGTTGCCCAAAGCAAATGTCTACAGGATTTAAATCTAAAACTGAAATGTGATCATCCAGGTCTAAGCAAGATATTCTGTCTTACATAAACTGTGGGGGGCTGTTACTTCAATAATAGAACTTGCGATTATTTGGATTTCAATGATTTATCAATTGCATGTGAATTAAGAAATAGATAGGGATGCTTGATGGGAGGGTTAAAATGCTAATGGTCTGCTAATAACAAATGTTCCGTAGTCTATGATCCTGATTTGACATGTCCGACTATCTATGATACTTAATTTTCTTGGATGAATTGTGGAACCTCTCAGAACATCCAATGTTGGGCATACGTGGATAAGTGTTCAAATTAAGATGTCGTTGATTTGCCTTGTGAAGCTGGTCTCTCTTAAGGTACTTGCCAATCTTTGGATCATTATTGCATTTGGTCTAACAGTCGTTGTTAGGGGTATAATCCGAAGATTCACTCCTGTCAAAATGCTGTCTCCTTGTATGATTGCATGTAGAATTATAATAAGGATGAATTTTGTGCTTATGCGGATAATAGGTGTTTTAATGTGAATCCCCTAGAAAATACTTGCGATTAATTTTATTAAGTGTCACTGGCATATTGCCAAGAGTTTCCAGATTGCATATATGATACAGCAAATTCGAAATGTCTCAATGTGCGAGTAAGTGAATTTTATGAATCCAAATAATTGGACTCAAAAAACAATTAGGGAGTAAGTTGTTCGGATTTAGATAACACGCATTGTTTATTTTAAAAATCAGCAAATTGTGAATTTTATTATGGTAGATGTAGTGAAATCTATTGGTCGAGTTTTGATACGTGTCCAAATTATGAATTTTTTGATTAATATGAAGGCTTACCTTCCTAATTCGCATGCAAATAATATTCAGATTGTGATTTCTTTGGATCCAAAGATGGCTAGGTTGGTCTCTGCTACAAAACAGATGAACCCATAACATGTTCACAATTAAATTAGAATTTTTGTGTAGTGGAATTTGCGACTTTGACATGCATGTGGAATCTAGATGAAAACATTTGTTAAGATGTACCAGAAGATATAAATTGTGATTCTATTTTTAAGATGAATGTTTCTAATTCCTCTTGTAGAAAGGCCAATTTAAATAGTACAGATAAAAGTTGCTATTTCAACAGCAATGAAAGCTTGTGTAAGCCAATGTACACTCAAACAAATTTATCATGTTAAGACGTGGAAATCAATTATGCTGATGATTAGATCTCTAAGCATGCACATTGTGCATTTACTAATTCTAATTGCTACATTATTCAGATCGTAGACGAATTCAAATGCTCAAGCACTGCAGATCTGAACAATGTGAGTGTGAAGAATAAGAAATTGTGCATTTCTCAAGTTGACAACACTTACATGTTTAATTTGTAAAAATACACATGCGACATAATTACAACTGATACTGAAATACTGACTTGTCGTTTTCTCAATTACAATGCTTGCATGAAATTAACGAATAAATATAGTTCATTCAAATGTGTCTGGGATGACTCTGAATGTCGAGACATAGTGAAATCAGATTACGATACCCTTGAATGTAGGTATCGTAACTTTAATACATGTGTTATGAGCAATACAATATAATGCATCTACAAGGATGATCAATGCTAAGAATATGTTCATATTGATACTATATGTACTTATTCAGAGACAACCATTGTTTCACCTATGGCTTGCTAAGTGGATGATTGTCTATCAGATGGAAAACACTGCTTCTCAATTACAGATGAGCCTGATTCATATTATAAGTGCAAATTTATGGGTTTGACCTAGGATCGTTGTATAAACAAAACATCTTACATTAAATGTTACTGGAATGCAGACTTAGGGTATTGCGATGATGCTAACTTGTATACTCTTCATTGTGATGATGTTGTCAGTTAATAGACTTGTACATCCATTAAGACTCCAGGGTAGTACTGCAAATGGACTGATCTAGGGTGTGTCAATTTGGAAATTGAGTTGGATTGCAGAGAGTATGATAATTAATTTAATGGATGTATCCAATAAGAAACTAAAAGTTGCTATTATGATTTTAGATATAATTAATGTAGAGATGCTGCTTAAGTGTATGAAGCATGTTATGAAGGTTTGAGCAAAAAGGCATGCAAAGAAATTGCCAATGAAGTTTGTATCATGTACCAGGGACAATGTTCAAGGATGACTTCCACCTATTACACTTGCAGAGCCATCTATAACAAGTTTGGTTGCTATTACATCGATTTGAGTTGCACCTGGGACGATGAATTGGGTTGTCAACCATTCACAGATAAATTGCCATGCAATGATTTACCCAAAGGATCGAATAGACACACTTGTAAATATAATGCAGTTCCCATAAGTGGTGTTGAAGATTGCGAATAGTGTAATTGTTCCTTCGATGATGCCACTCTCTCTTGCACTTATAGGTTATCTGGATTGTCCATCTAAAACTTTGAACAGGTCGATCAATCCAATTATGATCAGATCAGATTAACAAAATTGTGCGTAGATATGAAGGATTATCATGATTGCATTGGAAATCTTATTGATACTTGCAAGTGGGTTAATGAATAATGTATTAACTCAGATTTTAAGGGTTGTGAATCTCAGAGTATCAAGGCGTGTTTAGCAATTGAAAATGAGTTGTGTTCATGGAGAGATTATTCTTGTTACCCTTGGAATGAAAATAAATTTGAAGTAGCCTTGGTTACTAAGAATGTTTGTAAAAAATTGGATTAATCTCTGAATTCTAAATATGATGAAAATACTTAATCCTGTATTCCTACTAACTTCGAGTTGGATGATTGTAACATCGTAAGTGTGTCTAAAATCACTTGTCTTTCTATTGTCAATCATCCTTGCATTTATTAAGATGAAATCTGTAAGTTCTATTCATCTAACTCACAACTTCCAAAATGTACAAACTACTAAAACATCAATTATTTAATCTGTCAATCAATAACTCATATTGCCTGTAAATTTAACGCTGAAGCATACCAATGTGTCAATATTGATACCAAAACAGATGGGTGTTCAACAGTGGGATTGTCTCAAAAAGGCTGTGCATCAATTCAAACTGAAGCATGTTATTGGGATGGTTTCTCTTGTTAAAAGTTTGAACCTATCAATCATATCAATTAATGTGATTCCAAGACTATCATGAATAGTCTGGCTTGCAGTTAGGTTGCTTACTTAGATCGTCCCTGTTCATTTGATTCATTGAAACAAGTTTGCACAAGCAAATTCAATAGACAAAGTAAGTGTGACACTCCAGGATTGAATAAGAGTGCTTGTTTATAGTTAGAAAACGAGGCATGCTAATATGTAAACAACAAATGCTAGAAGTTCGTGAATGGAAATTATAAGTGTTATCAACTCACTTAGGTTAATAGCAAAGTCTGCCAAATCTTAGAAACTGACACCTGTGCTTATGATATCACAACCAACTCGTGTTATTCGATACTGAACTTTCTGTCTTGTAGTTCACTTGGTGTCAATGTAAATTCTTGTTCCATTCTGAGTAATTGTTCGTGGAACAACGATGATAAGAAATGCTAATGCAATCAAATCGAAGTCAAAGATGTGTGCCATTCCAAAAACAAAGATACTTGCATTCAAAATTCTAGTACTTGTCATTACTCTGCAGGACAATGCTTTAAGAAGAAATGTTCAGACCTTCAAATTGGGGAGTGTCAGGGCATTGTTAATAAGGAGACATGTTACATCAACCAAGACTATCAATGTCAAGGGGCTACTCAATGTGAAGACATTGTTTATCTATCCCAATCTTAAAATTGCAGTCAATTCAATTTCAATGGTAGTGTGTGCATTAGTATCAATAACTACTGTATCAGTGCCACAAACCTAGACGAGTTATGCATTAACAGTGATTGTTCCATCAACTCATGTATCTTAGATCAAGGCATCTGCAGACCATTGAGTTGTCAAGACTTCAGTGAAGACGATTGCTTCCAAAATGAAGGTTGCGCTTTGATTGATGGTTTATGTGTTGAAGTTGAGAGTTGCAATGAAATCTCTGACCCTGCAATTTGTAGGATGGTCATAGTTGACAACAAACAATGCAGTTGGGAAGAGTATAGAATCTTGGATGAAAGCAAAATATGTACAAACTCTTAATGCGAATTGTACGGACCTGCTTACACAATATGTAATGGAAATGAAATCAATGGTAAAACTTGTGTGTTGGTCGATTTGATTAAATGCAAAATGTGTGAGGAAATCACAGATGTGTGCATTTGCAATAACTCTAACAATGCATGTACCTTTGTTAATGGCAAATGTCAATCTATTTCCTGTGCTTCCTTTGATAATGAACAATTGTGTTCAGATTCCAAGCGATGCTATTGGAGTCAACAAGACAAGGTGTGCAGAAAGATGTGTGTTCAAAATATCAGGTAAGATCAATGCGAAGCCTTAATTTATGAATGCCATTGGAATCCATACATGAAACTGTGCGAACAAGGCGTTGAAATAATCCCTGATATTAGCATAGACATTGATATTGATGAGCAATTTGGACATTTAATATTATTGAATCTGATTATTATTTTAACCATTTGATAAAATATGTATAAACAATGTAATTGTATTTATTGTTATTATGCCATACAAATTTAAATCACATTTCAATATCCTCTGTGAATGCCTCTGTGCATGATCCACTAACATCGAAATAACTAGTATGATCTTATGAAGAATCTCCTATGATTGAATTTGCACAGGTGGGATCCTCGTCAGTTCCACTTGAACAAATCTATTCATAATTATACTCAATTGTTACCTTGTATGACTTGTTATCGTGAGTGTACCAAACTTCTTAAGGTGGGTGTTTGTAAGAGAATGAGGAAGGTGGTTGATGAATTACCATGTCTCTATAGTGAGTCACTCTCCAGTGTTCGGTTGCAGCAACGTAACTGGTGAACCAAACAGCAAATTCGTGTGTTCCAATACGAGGAGCTCCATAAGTAAAGAAATAATCAATTTTGTATCCTAATTTTTTCAAATCTACAGCGGCCAAATAAGCTACTGCTCCTCCCAAAGAATGTCCAGTAACCAATAATTTTGAAGTTGTGTACTTGGCTTTCAAAGCTTTTGCAGCAGCCAACACTTCTGTCGATACGTCATCATAGGTTTCCCAGAATCCCAAATGGACTTTACAATTCTTGCAATCTCCGAAATCATGTTTGAAGAACTTGATGTTATTGTACCAATTGATGAAGTCTTGGGTGCCTAAAGAATTATTGTATTCATTCATACTTCTATACACAACCACAACCAAGTTCTCCTTTTTGTTGTATCCCACGTAGGCTTGAGCATGGTGATCTGCCTTGTAGAATGCCTTCACTTCAACCATGTCTGGATGATGTTGGCAAAATGTACCGCAATTCCAATTTGTAATGGTCTAATGTCATCCCTAACAAATCTTACCTTCAAACTGCATTTGGCAACTTGGGTGTAGTAGAAGAAACTCTCTGATTGGGAATGCTGATAATTCTATTGCAAACCCATTAATTTCTCGATTCTTTCCTCCACATTTCCATTGACAGCTGTCAATAAAAGACAAAGTGCTATTATTGAATACGTCATTTATTTAATGATTATATTATTTGTTAATAATATTTCCGATGTCTTCAAAAATCACTCTAATCATATATATCGATCATTCTCAATATAAGATTTATAATTGACAAGTTGATGATAATAATAATTTATGGGCAATTAATGTAAAGGAGTCGGCGAAGAGAGAACTGAAAAATCCAACAAAGCTCTGGTTCAAACCATCCCATCCAAAAAACCTAGATTGTAAGATTTCAAGAAACTCAAAAAGCTGGGCTAAGGAGCTTACGGATCCGTCTTCTTGGTTGAACATCAAAATGAATTGTACGCCATGAAAGAGATTTCCAAGTCCAGAATCCAAAAGAAGAGCACCAAACAACATATAGATTCTGAAAGGCAAATTCTTCAATGCACCAAAAGTAAATACCTTGTCGAACTCAAATTCGCATTTCAAGATGACAAAAATCTCTACATGGTTGTCAATTATGTCAAAGGAGGAGAACTATTCTTTCACATCAGAGAAGCAGGCAGTTTTACCCTAGAAATTTGCAAATTTTATTCAGCCTAAATACTTATGGCTTTGCTAGAACTACACAACTAGAACATCATCTACAGAGATTTAAAACCAGAAAATATACTCCTTGATGATTAAGGTCATGTAGTATTAACCGATTTCGGGTTGAGCAAACATCTATGCAATGATGAATTTACCAAGAGCATGTGTGGCACTCCAGAATACTTGGCACCCGAAATCATTACTTCAAATAATGGATACTCCTTCGAAGTCGATTACTACAGCTTAGTATCATAATAATAAATCACTAGGGATGCATTATCTATGAAATGCTGACTGGTAAAACTCCATTCTTCTCTACTAATAAAAGACAAATGTTTCAGGACAGATTGACCAAAAAGGTTACTTGGCCTGATTCTATTGATGAATCAGCTATCTCCCTAGTAAATCGGTTATTGGAAGTTGATGTACTATAAATTTTAGTAATAAATAGCCTTTAAACCGATTATAAGGGAATGAAATAAAGGCTCATCGATTCTTTGAAAATATTAATTTTGATGAACTTCGGAATGTTAAACCACCGTACAATTTCAATTAATCATCTGCATCTAAGTTCTTCGAGCAATTTACTAGCAAAACAACCATATCACCAATGATTTAAGACTAGCCATTTTAATTCTAAGAGTTTACTTATCCCTAAGAATGATTGCAAAAATTTTTCAAAATTATACAATATTTTCATTTCAAATTTACAACTTGTTGTCAAATTAACAAAATCTTTAAGGATCCAAAATTAGAATTTCGAACTGTAAATATCTATATAAATTCTGAAATTTCTATTGCGAAAAATACTAATCAAATATTTATCAGACTAGCACAAACCAAAGTGCATTCCAGAATTTCAGAATTCCATCTAAATTTATAATTAGTAATATTATATTAACTATTAATTATTGGTTGCAAGTTTTTCTATTAATTTTACACTTTTAAACTTCGAATTGAATTAACAAGTAAAGAGAGAAGTCTATTTCGTCATTTTCATTATCAGTGTTAAAACAGATGACAAATCTTTAACCTCATTAATTCGAAGTTTAAGTTTTATATGTTTGAAATAATATATTATTGAAGTGAGTAGACTAGTAATTCTCAAATTGTAATGTTGTTTATTGATGAGAAAATAATTTTATTTAATAGCCTCAATTTATCAAGATATTAAAAATTATTATATTAATACAATCTATACAAAATGTTATTGAATTATATCTAGAATAAATTAGAATTTCTAAAATCAAATTCTTTAATCTATTCCATAATTTTTATACTGCATAGATAATCAAAATTTATATTCCTTTTAAGCAATCATCAGAATTTTAATAATATCAATAAATCTGTAACATTAATTGATTATTGATAATATAATTAAATTAAGAAAAAGTCTTTATTAAAGGTTTATTTAAAAAGTATTTATAGATGGGTTCAGGTTAAAGTAAAACCAAGAAGAAAGCTGCCTAACTTAAACAACCGAAAATACAAAGTATTGTTTTCCAGACATTTTTTAGATGAGGAATTAAAAAGGTAACCCCAATATGAGGATGATGTGATTGACGCTGCTAATTTGGCTATAGCAATTTAAAAGGAGGATCTTACTACAAATATAGAATTATTCGTTCATTGTGAAGGTTTGCCCAAAATGGATGCATTCTCATTAACAGATCCTGTTGTGGTTGCATATTACGAAAAGGAGTATATTATAATATTGATAATTCTAGTGATAAATGGGTTTACATAGACAGAACAGAGATAATCCCAGAATCTTTAAATCCTAAATTTGTTAAGACTTTTATAGTTAACTATATATTTGAGAGAAAACAAAAGTTAAGATTTGAAATTTATGATATTGATGATTTCGAAGCCATAGACAATTTAGAGAGATAAGAATTTATAGGTTTTGTAGAGTGTGAAATAAGAGACATTGTTTGTGCTCCAACCTAATCAATCTCAAGGACCATTATTAATAGAAAGTCGAATAGAAAAAGAAATGGACTACTGCATATCAGAGGAGCAGAATATGATATGGGTGGTAATACAATTCTCTTTTAAATTGGATGCTAGTAATTTACAACGAAGGCTGAAGTACTATTAAGAATGTCATACTTCACTGACAATAAGGATTGGATGCCAATTCATGCAACAGAGCCAATTAAATATTAAAAAAAATAAACTGTACAATTTAATGATTTTTATCTTCCACTCAGTAAGTTTGGAAATAATGAATAAGCATAAATCAAATTGGAAGTTGAAGAATACAACAAAACAAAAGGAACTACATAGTTGGGAGAATGTGAAACTACACTACAACAATTAATGGAAAATTCAGGTAAAACCCTCAGAATGACTAAAAATGGATTAATAGTTGGATAATTAAAATTGATACAAGTGAAGTAACATAGTAGATACAGTTTTCTGAATTATATTTATTCTGGGGCAAAGATTTAAGTTATTGTTGCACTGGATTTCACAAATTCTAATCAAATTTCAAATGAAGAGGATGGATAACCAGAATTATCAACATCCAATGATTACATCAGTGCATTAAAACAAATCTTAGGAATTCTATAATACTATAATAATGAAAATAGATATCCAGTGTATGGTTTTGGAGCTAAATTACCTCCCTATTATAATGTCGTCAGTCATTGTTTTGCTTGCACAGGAAATATATTTGATCCTTATGTGTATGGAGAGGTCGATGAGATCATAAACTTGTATAAAGAAATCTTGCAAGGTGTTGTGTTACATGGACCAACAGTTTTTTCCTAAATCATCTCCTAAGCTATTGAATTTGCAGCAAATGAAAAAGTAGATTAAAATAAGTATTTATTATAAAATATCTTTTTAAGTTAAAAGTATTACATTCTTTTGATTTTGACAGATGGATCTATCAATGACATGCAATCTACAATCGAATAAATCTATAGAGCATAAGAATATCCATTATCAATTATTATAGTTGGAATAGGCAAAGAAGATTTTAACAATATGAGAATCTTAGATGGGGATGATCCCTAACATAAAGTAAATAATACATAATAATATAGTTACGTTCAAAAATCCATAACGATGATATCAAAAGAGATTTGGTTCAATTTGTTGAATTTAATTCTGTTAGAGATAACTAAGATAAATTGGCTAAGGAGACCTTGGCCGAAATTCCAAGATAATTTCTGGAATATATGGAAAAGAATAAAATATATCCAGCTAAAGGAAAAAAAAATACCAAAGCTGCAACCAATGATTTTATCCATTCGAAAATTGATGAAATGAAGAAATTAAAAAAGAAAGAAGGTGTAATTAGTGGTAAAATTCCTTAATTTTTAAACCAATAAAAAGAAGAATTTATTAAACAATTAGTTTAATTAGGATATGATCGATTGGCAGTTACAAATGTAATTAATAATGATGGTGTTCCATGCAAAGATGTCAATTTAGTAATTGAAATTTTAAGTTAAAAATAAAAGCAAATGCAAATGTAACAACCGAGAGATGGCCATTTCTTGAGTAAAAGAAGTGAGATGGCTCAAAAATTATTAGCCAATGTATCTTCATCAGACTCTAAAATTACACACAGAGTCTTTTGCATCAGATAAAGAAACAAAATTGATGAACTTATGTAATTAAAAAAACAAGAATCGAAAATTACAGCAACTAACTTTCTATTTAAATTAACTGAACAAACTAAGCCAAAACCCAAACCAATTATGGAATAGAAAAAACAAATTATTGAATCATAAAATAACTATGAAACTACAAAAATAGGGTAAACAAAAGAAAATCTATGTCTAAATTGCGATTAAAATAAAATAGAACTAGTTTTTATACCTTGTGGCCATGCCTGTTCATGTTTATAATGCTATAAGAATCTATAGTATTGCATCAGTTGTAAATAGAAAGTGCAAATGTTTGCTTAGATTGACTATAAATCATGATATATTATATAAAAAACTTAAATATACTTTAATTTTTAGGTTGAGATTCTTTTGAATTTTAAAATAGCATTATAAACATTTTTATTCTTTTAAAATACTAATTATAATTACCATTGTAATCTATTATACAAGAAAATGGATTCTTTAAATAATTGTAAATACCCCATTAAAATCAGAGTGATTCAAATAGGAACTTAAAAAAATAACTTTACAATATTTTATTTTAGTTGGGATTTTTGATTAGTGGTTTAAGTCTTATGACCTACAATTTTATATTATAATAGTATTTAAGATACTTTTTCATTTATAAAGAGTCTAATTAAAGTGAATTTCCAAAAAATAAAATAATAATTCAACTAAACATGATCTTGGCGGATTTAGGGAATGTGGTTTCAATAAAAATACTTTGAATCAATAGTGATAAATATTCAAATGTAAAGAGATAAATATCAATATTTCAAAGATAAATTTGACTTTTTAGTAAAAAAAGGATAATTTACATTTTACATAAATATAACTATTACGAAAGAATTATCTTCTGGGTTAGCAGATACTTAAATTACTAATCTCCTATCTCAAATACATAGACAAGATGATTGTATTTACAATACTAGAAATATCAAAACATCATTTAAGCTATGATCTACTAATATTTGAATGACACCCATCTCATTGAAGATTCCAACTTTTGTCGTAAGGTACAAAATTTATTAATGGACTTTTCTTGACCATAATCATTGAGAGTAGAGTTTAATGCTTTCATTAATAATAATATGATATTTCTCTGTAATCGTCCACACTTATATAGATAGATTTAAATATATTTTTATTACCACTCAAAGGGTGATATCAATGATATTAAATATCAGATGATAGACATCTCTTTATTAGTTTCCTTATGTTTTTCTGAATTCATGGCAATCAAATTATTATTTTGAATATATAACTTGCAAATTTAGTGTTTCAAATAGTTATGATATTAAAACTTCAAGTTGATATTTGAAACAATAACAATTTATAAATCCAAAATTCAATTCCTTCCCTAGAAATTTTTCAACTTAAAATTAAACTTTAAAATATTCCTTTCAAATTGCACTCAACTTTGGAACTTAGACAATTTTTAAGCTTTGCTAAATTTGATATATAGAAGTAATAAGATGAAATATATTTTTATCTAAAAATAAACTTATTTTAAATATTCTTTTATATGTATCAGAAAACAATAGCGGCTAAGACTAAACCGGCTGCTAATATGGCACCATTCTTAGTGGCTGCTGGGGTTGTACTAGTTGTGGTGGTGGAGGTAGCTGGAGCTGGGGTTGGAGTTTTGGTGGTAGTTGAAGTGGTTGGAGTTGCGGTGGTTGTGGTAGTGGCAGCAGCTTCAGCATAGTGTAAACGGAAGTTCACTAAGATTAAATTATATTATACATCTCTCTGATTCCTCTTCTTCTTCTGATTCTTCTTCTTCAGATGATGATTAAGAGTATGATTCTTCTTCTGATTCTTCTTCTTCGGATGATGATTGAGCATCTGATTCTTCTTCTGATTCTTCTTCTTCGGATGATGATTAAGCATCTGATTCCTCTTCTTCTGATTCTTCTTCTGATGATGATGATTAAGCATCTGATTCCTCTTCTTCTGATTCTTCTTCTGATGATGATGATTAAGCATCTGATTCCTCTTCTTCTGATTCTTCTTCTGATGATGATGATTAAGCATCAGACTCCTCTTCTTCTGATTCTTCTTCTGATGATGATGATTAAGCATCTGATTCCTCTTCTTCTGATTCTTCTTCTGATGATGATGATTAAGCATCAGACTCCTCTTCTTCTGATTCTTCTTCTGATGATGATGATTAAGCATCTGATTCCTCTTCTTCTGATTCTTCTTCTGATGATGATGATTAAGCATCAGACTCCTCTTCTTCTGATTCTTCTTCTGATGATGATGATTAAGCATCTGATTCCTCTTCTTCTGATTCTTCTTCTGATGATGATGATTAAGCATCAGACTCCTCTTCTTCTGATTCTTCTTCTGATGATGATGATTAAGCATCTGATTCCTCTTCTTCTGATTCTTCTTCTGATGATGATGATTAAGCATCAGACTCCTCTTCTTCTGATTCTTCTTCTGATGATGATGATTAAGCATCTGATTCCTCTTCTTCTGATTCTTCTTCTGATGATGATGATTAAGCATCAGACTCCTCTTCTTCTGATTCTTCTTCTGATGATGATGATTAAGCATCTGATTCCTCTTCTTCTGATTCATCTTCTGATGATGATGATTAAGCATCAGACTCCTCTTCTTCTGATTCTTCTTCTGATGATGATGATTAAGCATCTGATTCTTCTTCTTCTGATTCTTCTTCAGATGATGATGATTAAGCATCTGATTCCTCTTCCTCTTCTTCTTCTTCTGATGATGATGATTGAGCTTCTGATTCCTCTTCTTCTGATTCCTCCTCTGATGAAGATTAGGCCAAAAGTTCTGAGCTTTCCTCTGAGCTTTCTTCTTCTGATGATGATTAAGCATCAGTATAGCTTATGTGGCTTGACTTAGTGCCTTGCTTACTGCTTGTGGCAGCTAAAAAAATAATTTTTCAGTTGAGTTAAGAGATATGAATTTGTGAATAGATAAATAATATATAGGGGGGTTTGATAATATATATGAGTAGTTTACCTTGAGCGCTAAAGGCGAGCATAGATATGAGCAATAGAGCAAGAAGTGTTTTGGACATCTTCGTTAACTTTTATTTTTATTTAAATAAAATTTCAAATCCGAATTTGCTTTAAATAGCAATAATGCGTAATTATGATTTCTCAAATCTTTTTCATTTATTGGTCAATCTATGTGAATATTAATTATAAGTTTATTTCTGGATTTAGATAAGTAACTTCTTTTTTAAAAACAATTAATAACAGAATACTTATAGCCGGTTTTGAAATTAATTTCTCTCTTTCATTCAAATCAGATTCAATTAGTACAGAAATAAGCAAATGTAATAAATATTCGTCAATTAGATAAACTAAAATTTGTATTATTCAATTAGAAATCATGAGGTTTTATTGATCTACAGGTTTAGGCAACTTGAGGGTAAAAGAAGTATTTTTGCTGAAAATAAATTAGAAAAAAATGTAAACTTTCTAAATTTGGATTATTCTTGGCTACACTCCTTACATAAAACCTCATGACTGGCTATTGATCCTAAAATAGTATTTCAAGAATAGAAATTTTAATCTTTGTTGTTATGTCGTAATTGAATTATTTGGAATTTTGCTTTTTTTTAATTAGTTTCTTTTTCTTTTTGATTGTCAAATGCCAAAATTTAAGGTCGATATTTCTCCTTACTGAATTTTAGGAATGATGCCATAATTTAATTAACAGAAATCAATTTAACCCAACAATAATTTACAATTTAAAAATTGAATCACCTGCGTATTTTGACCATAAGGTAAAATTAAAACCTAATGTTCACGTATAAGAATAAAACAATAAAATAAAGAAGGATTTAATGCTTTTTTCTATGTTTTTATACTCTAACTTCTAAAAATATTCAATTATCTAAATAATAAAAGAATAAGAGCATAAAGATAAAACTTCTAAAATATAATAAATACTGTAAATTTGAACCTGAAAAAGGGATTATTTGATAACTATGGTTTACCTATTTAATAATAAAACAACAAAATTAATAAATTTAACAATAAGAAAATAATAAAATTTGGAATATATATAATACAAATAAAACTTATTAATTTGTAATTAAAATTTGTCTTCTTTAATTTAACTAATATATTCGTTTCATTTAAATTAAATCATAATCGAGTGTTTGATCGTAAATGAAATTTTAAATTAACACAAAATTTCAAAAGAATGAAAATAATAAATTCATTAAATTATAGAAAATACTTTAAAAATACTAAATCGAAGATATTTTTTAATAAAAACTTGAAAAATACATTTAATGCCTAAAGAGAAATCTTCTGGAGTTGAATAATTGAATGAGAAAATTAGAGAGAAGTTAATCAATTATAAAAAATTAATAAAGTTAATTAGTCATGATATCCTTAATTATTAAACATTACAGTTAACTTAGTTGTATCCAATAAAAAGAATATATAGATTTAGTACAAAAGAAAAATTAGTTAATGCTTGGAATAACGATACTTAAGAGATTAGGCCAGCCTATGTTCAATTCAAATAATCACCTAAAAATTATGTTTATACAGAGTTTCCCAATAAGTAAGATTTAAGTGCGGTAAAATTAAAATTCGAAATTCAACCTATATACTCCAATAAAAAATAATTAAAAATTGAAATAATAAAATATGCAATTATGAAAAGCTTGAATTATTAACTACATATCCATTTTCATTATATCTTTATTTAAATTATAACCAATTACTTAACTTTTGAAATGTTACAAAATGGTAAAGAAACTTGTAGATCATTAAAAAAGGAGAAATTAAACTTAATAGATAAAATTCAATTATAAAAAAAGTGATTATGCTGATAACTTACATTGTAAACTTAAGTAGTGTATTTTGTAGAAAGAAGTATAGAAAATTCACAAATTAGAAAGAACTAAACTTAATTCTGAATAGTTAATAAAATATGTTATGAATAAATAACTATGTTTCTGAGCTAATGAAAAGGATATATAATCATGACTGACATTATTTCAATAAGTTTAGACTAAATTATTTAACAAATTTCAATATAATTTATTAAGTGAGGGCTATTTCTTTTTGCAAGATACTTCTATAAGCAAGTTCACCCAGCCATTTGAAATAATTTGTAGTAGTAAGCAAATCTTTAGATAAAAAAGTATCTCAGAAAAGCTAAATAAAAAACATTTATTTTTAATTAAAATAGAATTAAGAAAGAATAACCGATTAAAACACAGATTTCATTAGTAGGTCTTAATACATAGATTATAATAATTAGGATCCATATATTTTATGGAGATGCGAAAATTCTACCAAAATAAGTAAATTAACTATAAATACACGATTAAAAAGCATAAATAAATATTTATCTAATTCACTAAATTATCTCTTACTAGTCTAAGTAATTGATGAGAGATTACCCATTTGCATTAATTTCTATAAAATGATTTGTCTGACCTGAAAAAGATATTTGTTCTATTCCTTTATTATGATTATGTTCAAAATAGCTCAGTATTTTTTCAACATCAGGGATGTAATTAAAGTCTAATATTTATGCATATTGTTCTGAAATGTTGAGATTTATTTTTCGTATTTTATTCCTCCATTCTATTTCAGTATTTCTTTTGTCAATTTTAATTTAATTTTCAATCTCAATTAGTTTTATCTTATTCAAATACTGCACCCATATTTCATTAGAAAAATGATTACTTAATTATCTGATTAACATCTATTCTTATTCACTCTATTCTATATTAGAGGTTTCTTGAATTTAGCTGTAAGAGCTTTTCCATTCTGTGATTTAACTGCTTTTATTGCTCATAGAATATTTCGATAAATCTCCATATTTAGTATTAGAAGATTCTTCTGTGATTCTACTCTAAATATATTTAACCTAATTTGGTTCTATGGTTTCCTAGGTTTATTCTTATTTTATAAGTTTTTCTTCTTTAATTATTTATTTTATTATATTAGTAAGTGCATCAGCCTAAATTGATTTTTCTAAATTGGAATTAGGAGTTGTTAAGAACTAATTTGCAGGCACAATAATTAAATCTTAATCTATGGTAATTTCTGGCTTGTTAGAGATATAGTTAATAATCAATTTTCTAAGATTTTTTTTTATAGTCTCTTGCAAATAATTCAATCCAATAGGTAAGATAATGATTTAAACAGTCCATCTATTGATGATTTCTTAAAGGAATTTAGAGTCAGCTAAAATAATTAATAATATGATTACATTAAATATATTCCTAAAATAGTGAATAATTTGATCCAAATAATTATGATGCCCTTTGATAAATGGCATGAGAATCTTTAACAATATTTTATAATAGAGCGGCATATGGTTGTCCAACTTTTAATTTTGAGTGCCCTATCCAATGAATTGATAGTTCATGCATAGAAATATCCAACAAAGAGGATGAAAGATGTCCCAATAAACAATTAATGGCATTAGATATTTGTTAGAAATATTGATCTTTAAATATCTAATTTTTGGTTATGTTACCAAGTGAACTTTACTGTTCTTAATCCAATATAAAAACTTGGAGTAATTAATATCTTTTTTCACTTAATAAAATATTAAATGACTACAAAATGCTTTATTCTATTGATTCACTATATTGAGTTTAATCATATTTGTCTTTCAAAATTACTTGGGTCCAGATTCTTCCTGCAATGGTTATGAAACTATATGAAGGAATAGAAGCTTTATAGAATTAATTAAATATTTGATCTATGTACTTAAACAACTCTTCAAAATAGATATTTAAGCTCCAAATTGTTCCCATGTAAGTTTTCCATAAAATGATATAGAAGTTTAAAATTTGAGCTTAAACCTTTCCCTTTTAAATAATTCTCAAAACATTTCTACTGAACAAACATCTTAAATATAACATGTGCAAAATATTTGCTGCAAGAGTGAGCAGAGCCGGTGCATTATTTATAGTGGAGGGATCTCGGATAAAATTATCAATAATGACCCATTTGATTTCCATTAACAATTATGTATGTTAAAGGTTTTAAATTTTATACTGATCCAAACACTCTAAATAGTAAAATTAAAATTTCTCATTTAGGTTCAAATCTGCTTATATATTACAATTCACATCTTCACTATTTTATGCCATATATAATTGAAACCAACTTGTAGTGGCTTGTTTTAATTGATCATCAGTCAAAATAGCAATTGGCAATAGGGGTTCAATCAATGAATTAACGATTAAGTCACTCAAATTTTATGTTAAATTCATCTCTCTATTCAATTGATTCATCATAAGTCTAATTATTTAGAGAGTAATACTTTGACTTTTAAAATGATTGGTATATCCATAGCCAGGATTCGTCTTAATTCAATTCAATTTTTAGGAGCTACTCACCAAATGCTGCTTAAAATCTCAGATCTGACCCATATTCAATGAAACTTGAAATTTGCATCTTCCTTATAAATAATTAACTCAAGTAGTTCGCATATATGTTACTACTCAATTCAACCATAAACTTTAGTTTCCTGTTCACTAATTTCAATTATAAAACTTCTGTAATGTTTAGAAAATTGAAGATGTATTGAATTAATTTGACCGAATATAAAGGCATATCCTCAGCAATTAAACGACTTAAATTTTGCATATTCAAATACTTTAAAATGCCTCTTTGATTCATTTAGCTTTGTAAATTTCTGGAATTCTTGCTCTAATATTTATCCTTAAATTAGGAATGCTTATTAACATCCTAATGAGATTCTTTTAGTCTTTAACTTCCTGGTTTTTACTTCTATTGGATGCTTTGATTTCCCATAATTATTAATATTCCATAATCAATTATGAAAAATAATTGTAAAATATCTCTATAATATCAATATGGAAAATATATTCCCTAAATATTCAGAACCAGATTCTTGCAGCTCAAGGCATGTGTTTAACTTAATTCTTTCATTGAATATAGATTTTAAGATCCATATTGATTCAAATAATATAAATTTGTATGTATAATATAAATCCAGTTGAATTTCTTTATTTAAACTTTTAAACTATTAGGAAATTAATATTGATTTTGTATTAGAATTCTTCGCAATTATTATTTGAAATATTGTTAGTTCATTTTAAGATGATATATTTTTATTACTACTGAATGATGATATTAACCTAATAACAAGAATGGACGTCAAAAGTAATAATATTTGTAATAGGCTTAATTTAAGCCCAAATAGCATCTGGTATTTTTAATATCAATGATTGCTATATGTAATCTAATGCGAATTCAAGAAAAGGAACATATAATTTTGTTGATAACCTAAAGCTCTTAAATAATTAAAAGACAAAGAAAATTCCTTATGCTATGACGATTATCATGTATAAATAGGAAATTTTAAATAATACAAACGACTACATTTTATTTATTAAATATTCAACACTTAATAAATCTACTATTTAGGGTTAATTGGGATGAGAATATCTAAAATTAAGATTTTGTTTAACTTATCTTAGCTTGCATGAAAAATAGATTTAAGTTCTGAAATTATTATTTAGAATAAGAATATTATGAAATTTGAGAGATTAGGTTTTTAACATACAATAAAATTATTATTGAAATGTGAAATGATAAGAGTGGATAACTAACTATATTATATTTGAATCATTTAAAATTCATAATATCACTACGTTTGCTAATAGATAATCTAAAGTTTCTCTTTTTCTTATGATATATGGTTTGCTGTCTCTAACCAAAATTTCTGCAGGTCTTTCTCTTAAATTGTAATTGGAACTCATAGAAAATCCATAAGCTCCACCATTTTAAATAACAAGAACATCACTAACTTCGACCTTTAGGTTTCTATCCACACCTAGCAAATCTCCACTTTCGCAGATATTTCCACAAACAGTCACGATTCTTGGTTCCACTTATTTCTATTCTGAGTTTATAATTTCATGATAGGACTCGTACAAGGCTGGCCTTATCAGATGATGCATTCCTGAATCAGTTCCAACAAATGTTCTTGATTTATTAGTGTTGATTGCTTAAACTGTGCAAAGTAAATATCCTGATTCAGCTATCAAATATCTTCCAGGTTCAATAAATAACATTGGTTTGACATTAATGAAATATTTATCATATAGTTTTTTGATTTCTGAGAATAAAAGATTTAAATCACTAGTTTCTTCATAGTCTTGGTATTTCACTCCAAAGCCGCCTCCAATATCTATATATTTTAAATAAGGTAATTCTAATTCTTAGGTGGCAGCCTAAAATAATTTCTCAATTCCTAATAAATAAGAATCATGATCTTTCTTCATAATTTTGCTGCCCATGTGTTGATGCAATCCAATAATTTTGACGCCCTGTTTTTGAATTTCAGAGAGCTATTCCTTCCACATGAGATTGATACCAAATTTACTATCATTTCCCCCTGTGTTAACATGATTATGGTGACCAATTCCAATGTCCAAATTTAATCTGATAATCACTTCAGCTTAATATGCAATTAACTTTTTTAATGTATCTATCTCACCAACATTTAGAATCACTCCTTTCTGGATTGCATATTCGATTTCCTCTTTTGTCATATAATTTGCTGTATAGGTAATTTGATTATTAAGAAATCCAGCCTATAAAGCTACTTCTACTTCATTTGGCGATACAGCATCTATGCCATGCACTCCATTTGATCTCATTATTTTTAAAATGTTTGGATTAGTGTTGGCTTTGCAAGCATACAATACTTTAGCCCCTTAATCAAATGAATTCTTTAGGGCAGTAGTTATAGTTTGGCACTATCGTTTTATAATCTCTTCATCATAAACGTATAAAGGAGATCCGAACTCTTAAACCAAAGATTTAGGTATTAGATTTTAGATCGTAAAATCGCTATCCATAATAATTAATTAATGATGAATGTTAAGATTTACAATAAAAAAATATGTAATAATATGAATGATTAAATTGATCAATATACTACGCATCTATCCCACCAACTTGGCAACACTGATTTTGATTTGAAGTGACGAATCTATAATGTTATTTATGAAATCTTACGCATAGTTTTCTTCCTTCATTCCAAATAATCATCACCATACCGTAAGGTAAAGCGCATATACCATAATGTATAAAAATTATGTCCCTTGTTCCAAAGACTGTATTAAATGCCTCTAGATATGACAAACTCCAAGTCAATAAGAATTCGACAAAGTAAGCTAGGACCATGAAGTAATTGTGGAATCCTAAGAATTATGGAATAAAAGAATACCTGTGAAGAAACCAGCACTTTTCAATTGTCTCAAAGCTTGATAGTTACAAATTTGACCAGCAACAACTGCAAAGAAGAATGAAGTTTATGCATAGCTTGATGCTTCTGTATGATAACAATAGGGCTTCTTAGTGACTGGAGATACCAAATCAACATGACAATCACCAAATTCAATGTTAGGAACAATTTTGCCATCCTCACACTTAAGATAAACCATTCTCAGATCATATCTGCCATGATTAGCATAAACCCAATCAATATCTTCATATCCATCTAGATCAGTTCCAGTGCATGTGCCATTTTTGTAGTTATCCCTAAGTTTTGTATTACCAAACCAGGGATCATTTGGATCGTAAACATCATTGTCACCATGTAGCACTCCTTATTTATTTGAGATGAAATAGAGAGTAGTAGGAGTAAACCCAAAATCATTAAGTGTTACATACCATTAAAAGAATCCACAGAATGTTTCTAAGATACCATTTTAAGTATACGCGAACCACAACAGTTGTCCACCCACTAAATGCTCATTTTTCGTTCTTGGCCTTCTTGTCATAACATCCAAATCAGCATCCTCAAAGACAAACACCATTGATGGAAAGACATCGGTACCTACTTCTATGCACAAAACCAACACAGTAGTTAATGGTAAAGGCAATCTGAAAATGATAAATCCTAAAAATGGAACCAACTCTGCAATATTGGAAGTCAAACAGTAAACAATGCACTTTTTGAAGTTATCAAATATCTTTCTTCCTTCTTCAATTCCAACAACAATACTTGAGAAATCATCATTCAATAAAATCATATCAGCAGCATCCTTAGCAACATCAGATCCAGTAATACCCATAGCAATTCCAATGTCTGCTTTTTTTATTGCAGGACTATCATTGACACCATCTCCAGTAACTGCTACAATGTGACCTCTTCTTTGACAACCAGCAACAATAATTAATTTTTATGCAGGACTGGTTCTTGCAAACACCAATTAGGGTTTGCTAAGCCATTCTTAGAGTTATCTACCCTTCTCATCTTCTGGCAATCCTTCATCATCAATTGCCATTTTAGTTAATCTATCTCCATGAATTACCAAAGCATTCGATTAATGAAATGCCTCTTCAAAAGAGACGTTCTTTTCTTCCATGATTTCATTTACTGTTTTTTCTGTGATGATGTTGCATTGTCTAGCTATGGCAGCTGCTGTAACTGGCTAATCCCCAGTAACCATAATTACTTAAATACCAGCAGATTTACACTTCTACACAGCATGTGGCACATTATCTTTAGGTGGATCAATTAAGGAAATCAACCCAACAAATACCTACTTATTAAATGGGAAGTTCATTTTATCTAAGTTGAAATGATATCCCTGAGGAAATTGATCTTTAGGTAAGTGAAGTCTGGAAAAGCCCAATACTCTTTCACCCTATTTACCAAATTAGGCATTCACTTAATCAAAACCTTTTTCCCATTTCTCATCCTTTACCTCAGCTTTTCCATTATTATACACTGTATCACATAACCCCCAAATTCTTTCTGGTGCCCCTTTTGTTAACAGACAATAATGTGAATTCTCGGTTTCATATTCAACGATGATGAAGGCATATTTATTGGTTGAATTAAAAGGCTTTCTTGCTTATTTCATATTCAAATCCCTAGCCACATTTCTGGAGGCTCTAGTTTGGAGAATGTCCTTGATTGGCTAGAAGAATTTAATGAGAGCAGTTTCAGAAGCATCTCCTACAGTAGGTTTTTCTTAACATGGCAATTTATCATATGCTGCTTTCCATTTTGCTTTTGCTTCTTCCATTTTTGCATCTTTTTATTCTTAAGTCAATCCAATCAAATTTTGTATTTTAATTTGTTATTCCTATGGTAGACTGCTATCAAAGACAGCCTCAGAACATATGATCGCTGTTTCATGGAGAAGTTAAAATCCTGGGTCTTTGAAATCATATTCATATTTAAATTCTGGACCCATTTTCTCTCTACTATGACCTCTCATCTTCTTACCATTATACCATATATTCTCAACAGTCATCTTGTTCTATGTTAACGTACCTGTTTTATCAGAACAAATGCAAGATGTAGACCCTAATGTCTCCACACCTTCTAAATTTTTAACCAAGACCTTCAACCCTGCCAATTTCTTTGCTGTTAATGTCAAGGCAACGACAACTGTGGCTAAAAGACCTTCTGGAACATTGGCAACTATAATACCAATAGCAAAGATGAGATTAGTAACGGCAGCTAAAGATAGATATTAAGAGAATACGATATCCTACTGCAAATCCAAGCACAAAGAAAATAACTCCGATGGAAATAGCAATATAGGCAATATAGGTAATGAAAGCATTCAACTCTTTCTTCAATGGAGTTTCTTCGGTTTCCGAACTTTCAACCAATCCTGCAATTTATCCGATAACGGTCTTATCTCCTGTAAATACGACAATCCCTTTGCCGTTACCCTGAAATATTAATTAGAAATACTTCTTTGCATAAGGTACCAAAGAATGCCAAATTTTTAGTTTCCAATGGATTCTATGGATGAGAGCATTCAGGCGTCCTCAAAAGTAACTATGACTCCCCTGTTAAACTCGAATTATCGACTTTCATTTCATTGCTTTCAATTATTCTGATATCAGCCGGAATACGTTTTCCAAATTCAACCACGACAACATCTCCAGGAACTAATTCTGTTGCCTAGAGTTTTTATTATTCTCCATCTCTGATTACTAACGTTTCTGGAGGTATGAAGTTCTTGAATGCTTCCATAATGGCTTCTGATTTTTGATTCTAGAAAAATGTGATTACGGCCGTAACAACAACGACTACAATTAAGACTATTCCTAAGTAAAGCTAGCCTAAATTATTTCAAATACATTTGAAGGGTCGTCAGGTGCGAGGCCATAAGCAATGAAACACAGTAAGGCACCAGCCCAAAGTAGCAGAGCAAATACATTTGTTAATTCATGAAGTAATTTCATATACCATGGAGTTTTTTCTCTAGAGGAGAGAACATTCTTTCCATACTGTTGCAATTTTGCATCAATCTGGTGCTTGCTCAACCCATTTTTGGCTGATGTTTCCAATCTTTTTTCTAACTCTGTTAACGGAATGGAATGCTCATCCTTAAATAATCAATTAAAAAATATACCATATTCTTAAACTTCTCTGCTTTAGATGCATCAGTCTTCTCTGGCGCTTTCTTTTTCCCTTTTTCAAATTGTTACATCAACTTCTTTCTCCTTAACATGATCTCCTTTGTCATCTCATCGAATTCTCTTTAGGCTTCCAACAGCTGGATTTCCTAACTACACCATTAAATAATCATTTACTATTGTTCCGTGAATGCCGTAATGATGGAGGAGGCACTCCTAGATTAAGCTTTCGCCATATTTTTAATAAAATTTGAACTTAAACACGATTCGCCTTAAATAAATCGAAATCTATTTTTAGAATATTAAGATTCTGTGGAGAGTATGCAAATTTAGAAATAAAATTGTTCGTATTATCATTAAACATCAACAGAAAAAGTGAATTATGAAAATAATTATATTTTTTTTCTTAACATCATACTACTTCAAAAAATTGGATACCTGGGAATTATCTGTTACCAATTAATTGCTGCTTTTCCAAATTCCACCCTCAACCCTCATTTAGGCACCTCTCTAAATGAAAAATATCTTAGAGGAAACTTAAAATCATCAATTATAGACAACATAAATTTAAATAATAATATATATTAATTCATCTGTGAGTACAAATTTTAGATTAAGCAAACGATTCATCATTTTTTGTTAACAATCTCTGACTCTCCTCAAACATTAATTGACTCTCAGTTTAAGTTAGAAGTCCTTTTAAACTTAAGTTTTCATCCTCCAACCTCTACTTCTCTCTGAATATTTATAATATTTCCTCAACTGTCTAATTTATTTATTTCTCCAAAATAGCAGTTTAGCCTTCCTAACATAACTCCTTTATTCTGTCTTTGAAATGAACTTCAAGAGATTGGATCTAATTGAATTCAATCTCTTTGCACTCACCAAAAGAAACCTTCTATTAGAACTATTTTATTTTATTCAACCTCCTGATATATTTATGTTTTAACTATCTTAGATCTGATTATTATTGAATGATATTGTAGGTCAATTATTATTTATCAAAGTTGAGTGACATCAACAGGTTAGCGAATTGATTAACTGAATTGGATAAGAATTATTACTCCTTGTCGTTTAGTGAATCTTTCAAGGTTTCGCTTTCCTTTAATAACAGAGAGATGGTTTCATTTAGATTGCATTCTTCATTGTTTAACCATTCAATGATCTTGGATTAAGAATTTCTTAGTGTGTCGAGAAGATTTAAGCTATTTTAATTAAATTGATTCTTGTCCTTGAAACTAATTGAGGATATCTGGGAACTTAGATAAAACTCATCCTCTAATTTTTTGCTGTATGAACTCAATCTACTTACCAAAATTTGAAAATTATTCTTTAATCGTTAATTCACAATTTGATATCGAATAAATTAGTCTTTATATATGGATTGCAATTGGAGGATGTACTTATTGAATTTACTTTTCCACATTTCTGAATTAATGCTATAAGTTAATATTTTTTCTATCTGAAATTATTCCTTGATAGTTAATTATTTTGTTGTTTGGATCCCCTGAATAAATTGCAATCTGATTCTCATCTATTTGGACCATTTGTTCTGGGAATCCAAGAACTATTAGATGATATTATTGACCTGACTGTAGGTTTGTTGAATTTCATTGTTCTCTTGATGACTCGAAAATTGGTTGAGATACACAAACTAGGATAGAATGCAACCTAAGAAGAGCATTATTTGATGAGGATTTTTATTGAACATCAAAGCCATGCCGATGGCCTTCAAACAGAAGAGTGTCCATTGAATAGTCTTTCTTAAATTGTAATTCTGACACATGGATGCTATTATGATAATTTCACTGAAGACTATCAAAATAATTCCTAGAGTGTATTATTCCTTATTGGCGTTGTCCTATAAATTAGTTAACATTGCATACATGATCTAAAATCGAAATGGTTACAGAGACAAAAAGGCAATACAGAAGAGTAAATTAAGGACATGCTTTATTGTTATGAAGATTCTTAAGAATGGGTCTAATCACCATCAATATTCAAAGGGGATGACAATAGGAAAATAAAAATAATAATTGATTAATATCAATCAAAACTGATCGTGCTGATTCAATTTAATGTAAGAAAATCAAAGTTAAAACAAATCACATCAATAATTATAATTATATCAGCATATAAGGTCCAATATTTACAAACTTTCCCCATCGATTCTAATGATCTACCCTGACTAAACAATGTTCAAAGGATTCTCCCCCATTTATTGTGAAATCTACAAACTAAGTTGAACCTCAGTTTTAAGATCAATCAATTGCACAGTATCCCCCTTGACCTTAAGCAATTACTCCTACCTTGGCAAAACATAAATCTCGTCATCAAGAACAGACGAGTCCTCAAACTGCTTGCAAACAATTCCATTCTTCAATCCATCATCAGTCTGCAATTGCTTGACATTAATGACGAATATTTTCTAAAGAAACAATCACAACTACAAATACATTTTAATAATAAGATTTGGGTGAGTTCTTCTCTATCACCACAAAGCTCCCCCTTGAAGGCAAATAGTAAAGATTCTTAACACTCCAAACTTAGATCTGCTCATATGTTAATGTTAAAATCAAAGTGCACACATTGGCCATGTCCACCAAGTAAAATAGGATTTCGCCCCCCTCCTTATCCCTGTAACATTTATTGACAGCCAAAATGTTATTCAATCTAGCATGCTTCATGTTCTCACTAATCATCATTACACACACTTTACTTATCAGTATACTCCACCGGACTCAATATCTATCCCTCATTGGCAGTTATCTTTTGTGATATTATCTCTTTCAGTGTTCTCGAATTATAAACCCTCAAGAACCTGTACTTGGGATACTTGCTGCCGAAGATGTTGAATTGCTTTAAAGGCGTACCAGCTAAACATACTTAATCCTTGTCTGATAAAAATGCTATCGATCTAAATTAATTAATGATTATACGTTATTTCACTAAAATCATCAATCTTCCAAATGTATTTCAATCTCATCTCCTCCAAACTAAATATTCTAATCATTTAATCGGAAGCAAGTGTTCCAAGTTTCTTCTCATAAGAATCTGCCCACTCATACACTTTCAATATCTTGATCTTCTTCATTTCACTATGATCTCTAATCTACCCTTCTTGCGAATTCATATTCAAATTCCAAACCGTTATGATTTCCTTGTCTGACACTGTTATTAAGTAGGAGTGATCTTTAAATAAAACCACAAATTGTATTTTTGAGTACGTATTGAAATTAGCGATCTTTTTAAATCTAGGAGGGTTCTATTCAATGTATTGTTTCTCAGAGACATTTATCTATTGCTTCTATTCCATTTGAATGGGAGCCAAATTTTGTAAGTTACCTTTCAGATTCTATTTCCTCCTTGGTTTCTGACTTTATTCGAACTTTTCATATTTGAACTAATCTAATTGATTTTTAGGTATTATTTCTGACTAGTAATAACGAGGCTTTGCAATAGATGCAGTATCTTATTAGCTTTTAACTATCTACGATTAAAATATTTGCTATTAGGAATTCTATGTCTCCTACTCGGTGGTAATGATTTAGCTTTGATTAGTTGAAGATGCTTCTTTTTAATTGTTTGTAGATTTGATTAGCTGAGATTCTTCGTTTGTTTATGTACCTTCAGTTTATCCAGTGTTGTTCTGTTACTCTTAAACTTGGTTTATTATATCTCCTTATTATTCTTATGAAAATTATCGTTTTATAGATTGCCCTTAGTATGATGCAAACAATTACTGTTGCTATTTCAAATCCTTTTTTTCAACAGATGATTTCAAATTGGTCTTGAAATCGTCCTTTGCCTTTTTCGGCTTCGGAGTCTGTTGTATTGGTTATGGTTGTGGTTGTTCTACTTACTTTACTTTCTTTTAAGCCTAAGGACTCATGGGTTCCAATTGGTATTTGGGAGGAGTGTTGACCAACAAACAAGGAGAATAAGTTCGTAGTATAAAATAATGGGTAGAATCTGGGTATTTAAGAAGATGAACATCTCCTTAGACTTAATTCTAATACCTAAATATCATCATTGTGTTGGATATATTGTAATTGGTCGTCTTACCGTATTTATTCATGATGTACTCAATGATGATCTTCTTTTCCTCCTCTGTGAATTTGAAATTATTATAAATTTGAGCTATTATCACATTGTCTGCTACTTTTACAAATGGATTATTGCTCCTAATAATGTTTATTGAGATGTCGTGTCTACATAAAATTATTAACACATACCTTTGAATATTTTCTATTAACACATTTTTCCAGTCAGTTTCTGAATCCTCTTACGTCAATATAGTTAGTTTGTTGTTTTTCTCAAAACATTAAAAATTCATAGAGCTTGTGATGATTGCAGTTATTTTAACATCGATACTATCGCAAGGGTCCAAAATTCCTTATTTTTACTTAATGATTTACCTTCCTCAGGCTGAATGTGAAATATCATAGGATTTGGAGAAATAATTTTATATGGGACATATTGCAATGTTAGATTCAGAATATTAAAGGAAGTCGACAAATTGTCAAGTGAAATTGATATTTTCTCAGGTGTGATTTCAACAAGGTGATTGTGCTCTTCCTCCATACTATAATTAAATGTATATATAAATATGGAAATATTAATATTTTATAGATATGCCAATAAATCGGAAATGAAGGAATTCTACAAACTGATAATCAAGCATTAATTGGAGATGCTAAAATTAATTGAAATAATCCTACCAATTCAATCTAAGGTGAATTCATCAACGTATCCATTCAAACCATAACAACTACTTCCCTATTGAATGAATGGATCTTCGCATTTCAAACATGTTTCCTAATCTGAACATTTCTGACAACCGACAGGATCCAACAAACACTTTTATTATTATTCCATATCAAAAATAAAGCCCTTATTGCAATTTCGATCCTGAGAATTCTATTCGATTAACCATTAAGTACATCAGTCTCATTATGGCCAATACAAGATCTACACATAGGGTAGCACCTTTAAATCATAATATTGATATTTGAAATTCCAAAACTAAAAGAAGTATCAGCTTATGGAACAGACATCATGGCCAGAATTAACTAATTGGATGTATGAATGTATTCTATTTGAATCTCTTATGCTTTACCTATATTTAATCTTTCTTACTAATAAATTATCGATATAAATAGAAACACTATTTGATGATGATTTTAATTTCAGAAAATCAAATGTCCTCACATTTAACTACAAGATTAAGTTGTAATGTGGTGGTAGATTGTTGAATTACTTGTAAAAATATTGGTTGCCATTATTCTTCAATCCACCAAAATTTCTAATCCCATCATAATAAGTTTCAAGCTGATTCTAATAAAATGAATTGATGCCTTTTGCATTCTCTATTATGAAATTAGGGATTAGATTATCATAAAAGGCCCTGAGTATATGTGTGGCTAATGGATATTATTCTGTAATATCCTTGCAAACAAAACCATCGAAAGTAGAATAATGTGGACACTAAGCCACACATTATCCATTATACATATTAAAATTGGTCTTGCATGTCCCACAAATAAGTTTGCTTAAACAAGAACTACAATTGGATTAATAATTATTTTATTGATTATAATTTAGTGTATTCCCCATTGTAAGTTTTGATCACCTGCAACAAATATAGTAATATAGTAAATAGACAAAGCATCAATAGTATAATCGATATGATATTATAAATATCCATTTGTCTCGTTCTCATTATAAAAGTGTAATGGAGATACAGACATCTTTATCTTGTCTACTTGAACATAAATTTCTGGTTGCAATTAAGATTTAAAAACATAAATATCTGCTCTAATTCTTAATAATTGATAAGTGTAAGCATTATTAAATTTATAATTTATCGATTTACTAACAAAAAATTATCCTACACCTTTCCCATTCATATTCATAAATGATTTACCATCCTATGCAAATACCTTTCCATTTTCTATCATTGACCATCCTGTGAAATCATAAGCACTCCAAAAATATAATGAAATTGTTCCATCTCTAAAATTACGTCATTTAATTACTATAATCCTATGCACAGATTCCAAGTGCCCCATCAAAATATTCATTCACTTCACATTTCCTTATGAATTGATTGACTTGTAGACTTAATTAAGGTGTAATAGAAAGACATTTACATTCATTTGTTTTTGTATTAAGTTAAGCACAGACAAAACAGGTTTGACACTAGTTCTTTTCAGGTCCTACACATGACTCATGACATTGTCTTGGGATTATTTGAATGTTTCTGATTCCTAATGAGAAGGCATAGGTACTCTCAAGAGAGAAGGCCAAGTTTAGGTCTTGTTAATAATAAGGATAAGTCTGAATATAAGTAATAATATAAGTTAATGAACTATTAATTATAAGAATAATGTACTATTGCAAAATGGGACTGAGTTATCATTAAAAACAGAATATTAATCGATAAGGCTGTTGTCAAGCAAAATGTTTATCGGTTTATTAATGTATTCACCTATTAAATAAAAATCAACAAAAATATCCACATCATAATGTGACTCCTTTATTTTCATGTAATAATTGACACTTGGGTATGATTGACTAAGGTAATAAAAGTCAATCTAATCAAGTATAGAACACTTCATAATATTTGAATTTTGACTAAGGATGGCATCACTCAATTCTTGATAAACATTTAAACATCTAACGATAGGTTCAAATTATTTACTCGTGATTGTAGAAGGGATAAAAATTAATAAGTAAACATTAATTTAATTTATTTGAAATTTATTTTATTCCATTCGATGAAAATAATCTAATACTGATATTTTTTTAAATCATTAGATTTTCATTTATATCTCATCATTAATATTGAATATTTATGATGAATAAAATCTAAAATTATATAATGTATTGAATTTGACTAGGAATCAAATTTAAGGATAAAAGTTCTTGACTTTCTTATTATTTATATAAGTTATAATTTCTTATTACTAATCCTATTATTTAAAATAAGTTTTTAGGAATATTGAAAGTGTCAACTAATAGTAAGCCTATAAAATCTGTTATTTCTTGTATCTGTAAAATGAAGTTGTTCTGAATCTTGATTTTATTCACTTTGAATTGCATTGAGCATAAAGATTGTTTCAATTTTTCATTGTTGTCAGAATTGTTGTTATTCAAATTGAAATTGGTATTTCAACATAAATAATTTTATTTAGTTGGGAAATTACTTAGCTAAAGTTTAAATGTGCTGAGAGGATAAATGAATATTAATGTAATACTACAATTAGTTTATTAGTCTTTTTTCATTAATTTATGAATTATTAAATACTGTTTTATACTCAAATCATACAAAACATTTGGTGGATAATATGTTCATGGATATTTTATTAGCCCTATGAATATTAACTTTGTATTCTATCTGTAAGTAGTATTGTTATACGGATTACTATAATAATTTTGGAAAGGAGAATTACACATATATTTATTTTAGCAATCCTATATCTGCTTCATAATTGCTTATACATGGAGGCAAGCATACGAATGCCAATGAATAACCCTTTTACAAACCATTCGAATTCTTTGATGATTTTAATCAACTACTAACATGCCAACAAAGAATCTAAAGAAAATATTTAAATAATATCAAAGTTTGGCTTTCCCATCTTTTGCTTATTGAGAACAATGTCAATCACCTTCATCCAAGCCAATTATTCGATACTCGAGAGCTGCATTTTGATTTTCATCTTCTTAAGCCTGATGGCAAAGGATGAGTTAAAAAAAAAAAATGAAGCCTTTTAAAACTCAATGAAGGACCTGGGGTCTCAAGATTAACATAATTTTAATCAAAAATTTATAACCTTCTTCTAGTAAGACTCAAAGAAGCAATCATTGGGAACTTCTTTCAAGAAGAGCAGAACACACTATTCTCAATACCAGGAGAAACCAGACATATTCTAAAACATTCCCTTATACAATGAACCCAGAACCATGGATGAAAATATCAAGACTTCACTGCAGTTTCAAAATTTAAAAAAGAGCTTTAACAAAAAAATATCAACTATAAGTGCTGATAAATCTGATCAACAATTGCACACATTCTTTTAGAATATCATAAATAACATCTTTTCTGCAGGAGTAGTGATTCTAAACCAAAATCAAAAGGTGACTTTTATGAACAATAAATGTGAGAAGCTTCTAGGACAGAAGGGGAGTGACAAAGTGGTAGAATGTCTCAAAAAAATCATTATTGCTAATTCCTTACATGAAAATGACGACTCTCCTTTGGGACAGATTCCTCCAAGGGCCCAGGCCAAGATGAACAAAGCCACTTTTGAAAGGATTGTTAAATATCACAATGAAAATTTGATGGAATTGGATATTTTCGATGCTTTTCTCTATCCGCAAAAATACCTGCATTAATACTATCAAAATCTATCACCCCATTCAGAGTTTGATTAAAGGAGCAGTCTCTCAGAATCAGTAAATGAAACCTTCCTCTAAAGAAAAGATGCTGTAACTTATGAACACATAATGAGCGAAGGAGGCATTTTGAAGAAACTAAGAATAGTCATCCTTCCCACCTACATGACGAATGCTCAACAAGAACAACTTTCATATCCCTCATATTAGAAGGTTCATATAAGCAAGACTGCTATTCAGGCAGAGAGTGTGCAACCAATCATAGTTATTAAGATCAAGAATATTACCAAGAAACATAAGATTGAGTAAATGAACAAGGAGAAGGAAATACACAATTCCTTACTTAAATCATTTTCACATGAATTAAAAACTCCTTTGAATAGTGGTTAAGACATGTTGGTGATACTGAAGGATAGGATTAAGGATCCTAAACTTTTGGAGTTTGTTGAGATAGCTCACATTTCAATAATATTTTTAATACATCAAATAAATGATATCTTAGATTATGCAGCCATGTAATCAAACACATTTAAATATAGATATGTTGAATTCAAATCACGGGAGATTGTTGATGAAATTAATTATATTTATTCTAGTTAATTGCATTCTAAAAAAATCGATTTGCAAGTCAAATTCGATGAAAAGAAGGTAGGCAATATAAGATAAGATAAATAAAGAATAATGCAAGTGCTAATCAATTTATTAAATAATTCTTGTAAATTTACACCAGAAGGAGGCAAAATAGTATTTTCATTGAAAATGATGGACTACCCTTTTATTAAATTATAAGTAAAAGACTCTGGGATTGGAATCGGGTCAGATTAATTGTAAAATCTAAGGAAGGTCCTTACTAGTTCCATGGGTAAAAGTCTTCATAGATCTAGGATTAAAAAGAGTTTGGGTTTGGGATTAAATATTTCTGCAAGAATCGTAGAAGGATTGATATAAAAGAATGATGGAACTCTAGAAATCATATCTAAGAATAAAAATAAAGGAACTAAAATATTTTTCATTATAGAGAATCTTCTAATTTGTAGAGATGAGTCTGTTAGAAATCCTATGATCTCTGAATACACAACTAAAAATAATACTTATAAATAATAAATGTCATAATATGAAGGTAGTAATTGTAGTTAGGTATTGCCACTTTTGAGATAATTATCTGAAAATTCTAAATTTGAAGCTCAATCTCCTTCCAAAAAGAGCAAAACTACTAAAAGTAAGTTCTTTAATTTACTGCCTGCCAATTAAGAAAGTTCTTTGGATATGGCAGATAATTACTCATATCAGATTGATATACCAATAAGTCCAGAGTATTTTCACTATAAAGAGGAAAATGATTTAAAAAAATAACTAAAATCTTCTTAATGCCAATAATGCACAAGAGTGTTGATAGTTGATGATATTCCATTCAATTAGATTGCTTTAAAGGCTCTCCTTTTGCATTATAATATTAAGGTTGAATAAGCCTATGATGGATATCAAGCCATTGATTTAGTCAAGAGATAATTAGAAAAGCATTGTTAATATTTTACATTGATCTTTATGGATATTGAAATGCCCGGGATAAATGGTTTTTAAGCAACTAAAGATGTAACATAAAAACTTAAATTAGATTCTTTAAATTACTTTAGATTAAACACACATTATTATGTGTTCTGCTTATGACACTGAGGAAAATTTTAGGGAAGGAGAAGCAGTCGGAATGTCAGAGTTCCTACCGAAGCCTGTCAACAAATAGGAATTAGAAAGAATATTAGATAGATTTGGTTTTCTATGATATTTACTAAGTTTTTCTCAAATTTTTTGTTAATCAATTAATATTTATTTGACAATATTATAAAAATTAAACTCTTATCGATAAATACATATATATTTAATTCGCCATATCTTCATCTAAATTGTCTAATCAAGGTAGACATCATATACAAATGTAGGGTGAGTACATTCAAAGTTAAGAAGATATTCAGTGAAAAAGTTAGGATGACCAAATCGCAAATATTAAATGATTTAATTTATTTTTATTTAATGTGTAGAGTTATAAAAGTCTTAAAATAGGTACATATCAAATTTTCTAAAATAACATTAAAATTGGAGATGTTGCACCAACTACAAAATAGTGTTCATTTCTACTTTTTGTCAAGAATTGTTTTTTTAATAATTAAATTAATGAAAAAAAAAGGAGAATTATTCAAAACAATTTTAAAAAGTATAGCTGGAAAGTCTATTTTAATAGCTAATGTTTCATAAGGTTTGTGGTGGGTATTTTTGTCTATCGGCATGATTGATAAAACTAATTATGAAGCTCTTTCTTTATAAGTATCATGCACAATTTTCAGAATTTCATAGTAGATTATAATCGATTATTGGTGTGAAAAATAAGTAATTTTGCATCTGGTTTCGCTCTTGTATTCTGTACTGTACATAGAAACCTTTCTATTTTTACAATACAATAATCCTTTTGGCACATATGCAAATTGTTTGCTATTCATAGTGACTTATAGACAATACTTGTCATAAGCCGTTGATAAATCGAATAAAATATGCAAAATCGGATTTCCATGTTATGTAATATTTAGAAATATTATATTGATATTTACTGAGTTTAACTTTTACCTTATTGAAAGTCTAGGTATTTGCGTGGTGGTTTTTCTTACATTAGCATACAATGACGAATAAATCAATTGTCAATGTTTTTGTTCCACAAACAAAAAAAATATATTAGCAAAATCAAAAATCAAAAAATTCGAAGATAATGACTCCCCCCATTAGTTGTAGTTTAATTAATCCTTAATCAAATCTTTCAGCCGAGTTTCGATAGCATAAACGCCCCTTAAAAGTTAGAGTATCTATTTAAAGGAATTGAGTTACGAATCTAAGTTAATTTAATGCTCAAATTTAGGATAGACATAAAAAATATAAAAAAGTTAATTTTTGGGTAATAAGACTTCAGATTTACAATTCCATTAATTTTACCAAAATTTAATAAACTCATTTCCTTAAGGGATTCTAATACTAAATTAAAGTCAATAAGTGAGTTACCAAAATAACAAATGCGAAAAGCTTTTAGAATGCTCAGGATCAGAGTAAATAGTTGAGAAAATAAGGATGTGTTTAAATAGCGCCAAAATGCCAGAAAATGAAAATGATATAACCAGTCACCATAGAACACCAAGATTTAATAAATAAATAAATCAATATGCTTTGTTTAGGATAATTAAAGAGCTACAGAAGGAAAATCTGTAAGTTGACATTTTGGATATTTTACTTCAACCTTAGAAATACTTCCAGTTTCTAGAATAGAGATTGGATTAACTCGGTAGCCAAGATGACTCTAGAACAGATCAACTGACCTTTCAATAATAGATGTTTATTT